TTAGGTAACATTGATAACTGTTTTTGTTGTATATAATTTTACTATGTTAAAGTTAAGACCTCCTTTTAGACAAAAGGGGAAAATGATGTAGAATAATCCTTCTGTACACTGTGTGAATATATGTCACTGCAATTGGTTTAATAAACAAGCTGACTGGCCAGTAGCTGAACAGGATAAAGTTAGACAGGAAAGCCAAGCTGAGAATGATGGGAGGAAGAAGGGTGGAATCAGGAGACACCAGCCAGCCCCTGAGGAAGCAGGAAATGTAGAAAATGAGTTAACAAGCCATGAGCCATGTGGCAAAGCATAGATAAGAAATATGTGTTAATTTAAAGTAAAAGAGCCAGCTAGTAACAAGCCTGAGCTATCTACCAACATTCGTAATCAATATTAAGCCTCTGAGTGATTATTTGAGAGTGTCTGTGGAACAAGAAAACTCTGCCTACACACCCTCTTCTTTTAGCCCACCTAATAGCTCATCCATGGCCTCAAAGCACCCCTCTGAACCATATCTCTTAACTCTGCCTTCCCTCTCTCATACTCCTGACTATTCAGTCTTCCCGCCATTGCCTTCTTTCTCTCCCTCAACCTCTACTCTACATGATCCCTCTTCCTCAGCCCCAAAGGCCAACCCAGAACCTCATCTCTCACCCCTGTCCTTGCCTATATCCTCCTTTTGGACAGGGTGCCTTATCCCACTATTAAGTGCATCCATGACCTCCATTTTGTATGTGCACTATTGGAACCATTCCAAAGTTCACTATTTCCTTTACTGACCACTTGGATCCTAATGACCATACATATTTTGCTTATATAACCCTGGCAAGCCTAGCTTTGCCTCCCAATCAACTGATCAGAATTACATACCCTTCCAAAAGTCACATTTAATGAGAAGTGCATTCCACTACCATAATATATCTCTCCGGTCCAAAGTAAATTGTTAGGTTCCAGGCCTTACTCTCATCATGAGTATAAGAGTAATGAGAGGGTTTCATGAATTCTATTTTCACTGCCCAGAAACCACCCATAAAACTCATAACTAACTACACCAACTCACAGACTTTTGATAATACAGGAACATAAAATTGGCATGCAATAGTTATAGTCTGGAACTGTTGGACTCTAGGTTTATTGACCACTGCTTAAGTGAGAGGTATGATAAAGGAAAAACATGTTGTCTTATACTAACAAGTCTTCACAAATACAACAAAATCTCTAAAACATCAAACATGCCAGTGATTTTTGAGAACAAGAAACAAAAAGAGGATTTATTTCACGGAATTTGAAGCAAATGGCTGGTCATCTTGTCTGGTTACTTTCCTCTCAGGGACTATTCGTACTCATTCATCTGTTTCTTCCACTTGGTTCCTGCATTTTTAACCTACAGGTCAAGTTTACTTCTTGTAGTGTTCAACAGTTCCAACTCCAGATGATGCTCTGCAATTCTTTGTTGTTATTGTTGTTGGGTTTTTTTTTTCCGAGACAAGGTTTCTCTGTATAGCTTTGGAACCTATCCTGGAACTCCCTCTGTAGACCAGGCTGGCCTCAAACTTACAGAGATCTGCTTGGCTCTGCCTCCTGAGTGTTGGGATTAAAGGTGTGCACCACCACCACCGCTCTGCAATTCTTTCAACCATCAAAAGCTCCAATTCCTTTAATACTTCTTGGACCAGGCAATGTAGATGTTCTATAAAGCCCACCCATAATTATGGTTCTACTTCATGGTACTCTATTAAGCTCTTGCCATAGCAAAAAAAAAAAAAAAAGAGAGAGATCTTAGTAAGATCTGGTCACAGAAGCTACCAGAGAGCAGACCTCTAACCAACTCTCCCAGAGTAGCTTTGTTGCGCCAGGGGCCAATGTGTGTAGAAGGGTGCAACTGAGAGACAAGAAAGGAAATGGATCTTTAACTGGGAATTTCCACAATGCTTCAGAGAGTGTCCCCTAAAAGAAAAGAGGGGCTCTTCTCTGGCTAAACCATGAACAGTGAAATGATGTAAGTATGTGTGCTAGTCAAAATTAAGCTCATCCCACCAAGACAGTTTGAACCAACACCAGCTACTTAGTCAGGTTGAACAGAACTGCTTTCTTGTCAATCCCATGGATCACTACTCTGCTGGCTGTGGTGGTTGCAACCAACCACCAAGGGCATGGGTGAGGTTTTATAGACACAGGATGGGCAAGTGTTTCTAGATGACCTTGAATGAACTTTTGGTCATTGCACATCAATAAACATTTTGCTGTTGCCAAATATCTCACGATTCCCCAATACTGGGTTATAACCCACACACAGATTTCTAACTTGGGTTAGTAAATACATATTTCTTACTTCTATCTGCTGAGAAGTTTAAATACACTTATACCCCACAGCACTGAGCACAATTAGAGAGCTAAGATCTCAAAGACTCTAATAATAGGTCTTTGAGAAATGGCTGGTTCTTGGTTTCTGTAGTGAAAATTCAGATTGAGTCTGTACATCTTGTGGTATCAGAAAGTCAGGAGATGCTTTTTAAAAGTGATAGGGATATATTTAAAGAATCTAAGAGCTCCCAATGTCTAACATTCGAATATTGAGGGTCAGAATAATACACTATTGTTGGATCATATTACAAAATAAAAAGTGTAAGCGGGAAAAGCCCTGACCTAAAACACCAAATAACAACACGAATGGATCCAAAATCATGTTTGGTATAAAAGAAGCTAAACTCAGAAGCTACATTAAAATTGAATTTTGCTATGTAATAGAAGCCAAATTCAGAAGGTACCTAACTGCATTTCTTTGGGATTCTGGGAAAGGTACAATTACAGCCCATAGAGCAAATCAGCCTAAAGAGTGGAAGGGTAAGGAGGGAGGTATAATAATAATAATAATAATAATAATAATAATAATAATAATAATAATAACTGAGAACAGAACAGATACTCAGTCCGTACTAATGTGAATGACACTGGGTAAGCAAATAGGAGCAATGAAATATTTCCTCTCAAACATCTCAAGGTAATGGAAGACAAGACCCAGAAACTAGTATGAACTGACAGAGACCAAGAAGACTTCATGACTGACTTCAGGGACTTCTGGTAGTCTGGATTTGTTCCTGAAGCAAGAAAATTAGTGGAAAGAGGTGAAATTTAAATAAATCCTACAGTTTAGTTTGTAACATTATTCCCATGTTATTTCTTTTCATATTAAATATTTCTCAGAAACATCATCTGCTAACATGAGTTAAATGTGGGTGAAATCTACAATTATCTGTTATTTATTTTCTTAAGATTTGAGATTCACGTAGCCCAGGCAGGCCTTGACTTGGCTATGTAGCAGAAAATGACTTAATTCTTGATCTTCTTGGGGATTGGAAACCTATCCTTTTAATGTTATTTAGCACTAAGTTGGTGGCTTGTCTCTCTCCTTATTCCAGAAATAATCATGTGGATGCTAGATGATCTTTCAGTTTAGATTATTTCCCAGGATTTTAGATAAATTTGTTTCAGATTCATAAATAAATTTTGGTTGAATTAAAATTGTACTTAATTCTCCCATTCCCACTCCCCCTTCTTTCTACCTCTTCCATATCTAGCCCCCTTCATCCACAGCTTCTCTTCTTTAACTATTGTTCTTACCTATGCGTATACATAAATAGATACATAGATGCAACCTGCGGAGTCCTTCCGTGTAGCCTCCATGTATACGCTTTTAGGCTGACCACCGGTATTGGATAAACGATCAGAGGCTCATCTCTAGGGAAGACTAATTTTCCCTCTCTCAGCAGTTAACTGCTTGTAACTCTTCATCTAGGGATGACAGGAAAGTAACTATGTCCGATACTGTAAGTCTAGCCGACAGCATGTAGCTGGTGAGGGCATGGATCTTATGGAACCTACAACTGCCTCTTTCCTAAATTAGTATAATTCCTAACTGCATTCCCAAAACTTATCATTATACCCACAGGTTAAGTGTAGAGCTCACCCCTCATCAAAGAAGCTTCTTCTACAGCAGCAGGAGACCATTACTGAGGGCCACAACTTGTCAAAATACAGAGACCAACTTAAGGTGGAGTTCCCAGCCCCAGCTGATACACGACACCTGCACCTAATGCTCAGGCAACACTGTAGAAGACCTGGCAGAGATTTTTAGGCCTGAGACCCATGAAGCCTGATGTGAGACTGCGCCTTCTAGTTGTGATAGGGAAGCCACACCCATGAAATCTCAACATGTCCAAGACCTGAACAATTCCAACACCGGTTGACATTCCAACATAAATTTAAACACATCTTTCCTTCTTTTTGAGTATACTGATTTGATCCCCCCTACCCCCAGGGTACTGACAGAACTTTGGCTCTAGATAGGAGTAATAAAGGTACAAAACCTGGCATGATGTACCAGAGAAGTCCCGTCCTGAGAAATGAGTCGGGCAAGGTTGTGTTTGCACTGTAAACGCCTGGTTACAGGGTCCGGAAACCCTGGTTCCTAGACGCTGTCAATAGCATCATTTTACAACAGAGGGTGAGACAAGAGCTGACTCTGTTCTCCAGGCAACATTCCTTCCAACACTGGACAGAGGGACCCCACTCTCAGCACAGACGGGCGGACCGCCCCTTCCCCTGCGCATGCGCATGCTGCATTTCTGCTCCTGGTCCTTCCTTGGTCCCGCGTCCCTCCAGGGAAACATTTCTTGGCCTTCGGCTCCACGCACTGCTAGAGCGGCCGGTGAGCCCTAGATGGCGGCATGGGTGGAGGGTTCTGGGAGCTCGGGGCCATCCGGCCAGCGAACAGGGGCCAGCGGGGGACCCGTCTGGGAAAGTGCTGGGGTGCATCGGGCGCCGGCGCTCGGGTTGCCGGGGTCCAGATGGTCCTGCACCTCTGCAGCGCAACCCTAGGGCCGCTAGCTCGTGCTGTGCGTGCGCGTTTTGTGCACTAGGCGGGGACGGTGCGGGGTTGCAGGGAGGGACCTGAGGAATTACGCATGCGTGGCGTGAGCGTGACGCTGTGACGCGTGCGTTCTCTGTCTCCTGGGGCCAGATGCTGGGATGTGGGGGCGAGCGGGCAAGCCTGATCCCGAGTGAATGAATTACTGGGACAGAATAACCCAATCGAAACTCGGGTTTCCTTTCTGCACAATGTGACTATTACGAATACTTGCTTTTTTTTTTTTCTTCCTTTCTTTTCTTTTTCTTTATTTTTTTTTTTAAGCTGCTACTACTTCTTGTGCAGGGAATACCCTGTGAGGGTGGCAGGGAGCCCACCCTTGCCGCGGACCTTTGGACTGGTCCCTAGGGCGCAGTGTTTGGAGTGGAAGAGGAAAGAGCCGGCCTAGCTAGCCACCAAGCCTTCTGCCCCTCACACACTCGGGATCCCCGTTCTGACTTTGATATTCGCTCAATTGTTGTGTGTAATGACACAATATCCTGAAACCATGGAGGACTGTGTGCCCGCCGAAAGTCTGGGACAAGTTTAAGGAGAGAGAGGTGAGCTGGAGTTGAGAGAGATGTGTGCACTCAGGTTGCACAGGGAATGCCGCTTGGGGGTGAAAGGCTCACCAGCCACAGGTCCGGAATTGCTGTCACCCTCCTTCCTAAACATCCCGCGCACCCCTCCTACCTTGTTAACTGTGGAGGGGTGGTCTCTAGACACCGACTCATCCAAAGGTGACATGAAGGGAGATGCTGAGGGATGTGCTTTTCTGGCCATCAATGTCCATGGGACAGTGTAGGTGGGTCCTTGAGTTAACCAGTTTTAGTTTTTTGTTTCTTGCTTTTTTGTTTTTTACATTAAGCCTGAGTATCTAAGAATATCTTGCAAGTTTTTAGTGACACAACCAAGTCCTGCAGATGGTTGTACATTTGTCACTTTTCTGTCAAAGTTTCTTATCAAGAGATATCAAGAGAATTGTAAGCAAGCAACTTGGGACACGTTTTGAAATTTTTATCTTGTCTTAAAAAGCCCATTCCTTTTCTCAAGTTTTCTTGAATTATCTGACTTCAAGGAATTAATGGTGTCAGATAAACAGTATGTCCTGATTTCTTCCCTCCTCCCCTTGATTATCAGTCTGGACAAAGCCATGGCATTTCCTCCTTTAGATTATTATTTGGTGAATTAAAAAGATCTTCTCATCTTTTTAATTTTTCTGTAAGTTGGGCGATAATAAGAAACAGGTGTTTGTATTCCTTCAGTGAAAATGATCTAAACTCGACATATGTTAGGGCCACACTTGAAGTAAACACCTTGCATGGAATGGAATGCACAGGTGAATCCAGGAACTGCAGGGCAGGCCAAATCTCTCCTGACGTCCTTCTTCCTTTTCCCTCAGCTCTTCCCTCCTCCACTCAGAGCAGAAAATGAACAAATCCCAGGTGAGTTTTTGGCTTTTTTATTCCCATTTTGTTTTAAGAATTTGTATTTCTTTTTCAATGAAACAGTAAAAACAGGCAAAATTTTGCAGCCACAGAAACACTTGAATTAGGAGAGTTGACAGAATTAGATGGAGGATTTTTAAACTTGTTTCTGTGTTTTCTGGTAGTCACACTGAGGTGAATGTGATATGTTTCCTGTAACTGTTCCTGCGAGAGCAGAGCCTGTGTGTGTCGGGGGTCAGTCCCCACACTGAGGCTGGAGTAGACTGCTCTGGGGCTCCTACTTTGTCCAGGGACAAACGCTAAAGTAGGTGGAGGAATCGCCATCCCATGTATTTTCACAGCAGCCCTCTAAATGTCCAGGCAGCTCATTTGTGCTTCTAGGTAAATGTGCATGCAGGAAGCTTGTGTGTATACATTTCTCATTTACATCAGCCTGAAAAATAAGGCCTTATCCCCTCACCACCATCCACCTGAGTCAGTCCTTCGAAGGGCCACCAAATCATTTCAAGGCCAGCCAGTGAATAGTCTTGTCTCTGCCTCTCTTGACTGCCAGCATCGTTTGGTAGTGTTGACAATGGATTGCTTAAAAAAAAATTTTTTTTATTTAAAAATTTTCTTCATACAATGTATTTCTTTTATATTCTTTCCCCTCCCTCAACCCCTTCCAGATCCTCCCCACCAACTTCATGTTCTTTCTCCCCTGCCCCCCCAAAAAAAATTTAAGAAAAACAACAAAAAACAAAAACCAAAACAGACAAACTAAAACACACACACACACACACACACACACACACACACACACACACACACACACACACACACAGGGGAGAGAGACTTATTTTGAAAGTGCTTTCTGTTATGGAACACCATGCTCTACACTCTCCTTCGTGACTCATTTCTCGCCATCTCTTTCTTTTTGCCCCAGACATCACTTTCAGCCCCCATCCTCTGCTCTTTGTTTTGCTGATGGGCTTCAGGTGTCTTGTTTTTTTTCTTAATGTTTTTGAATTAGTAATATACTAACATTTAAAATAGTGTGCTAATAAAATTTTAAAATCTGCGGGTGGGGATGGGGACTAATACAAAAGACACAAAAGTCTGTACTCCTTTCCACTCCACACTTTCTGTTCCCTGTAGACGGATGATGTTTATCCTCTTGAGACATTTTCACTGAGCATGAAATGGATTCTATAGATAATTATGCTAGGTCAGTTGGCAAATTTGGGGGCAATTCCAGACCTAAATGTATTGTCATCCTACCATAGTTAATGGCTACTTAAGTATTTTCCAGTTAATCAATTAAAAAATATTCATGACTGTTCTTATATATCCTTTTCCTTTTTATTTACAAACCTGATCTTAAGGGCTTCTCAAACTCAGATGCACCTGTGAGTCTGTAACATCATTTGAACATGTGTTCTGAGATGATGGATGGAGATGGATCCCTGTATTTCCCTCCTTCCTCTTCTCCCTCAACCCTTCCTCTCTCCCTCCCTTCTCCCCTTCCTCTCTCCCTCCCTTCTCCCCTTCCTCTCTCCCTCCCTTCTCCCCTTCCTCTCTCCCTCCCTTCTTCCCTTCCTGCCTCCCTCCCTCTTTCCCTCTCTTCTCCCCTCCCTCCCTCCCTTTCCCCCTTCCTCTCTTCCCCCTTATCCTCTTCCTCCCTTCCTCATCTTTTTCTTTTTTCCCTTGGAGATGAACTCCAGGGCCTTGAATACACTCAACAAGTCCTCTGCTCCTGAGCTTTGAAGGCAGGGTCTTGCTGTGTGGCCCAGGATGGCCATTAACTCATGACCTGCCTCTGTGGTCCTGATGCTGGGATGAGGTAGACCACAAGCCCAGCTGGATTCTGAATTTCTGCAGTCAAGTGCTTCGTCACTGAGCTGTGCCCTCTGAATTCTGAATTTCTAATGAGCTCACAGCAAAGCCTGCCCTGCCGTTCAGGGACCACCTTTTGCGTAGCAAGCCTGCCCTGCCATTCAGGGACCACCTTTTGCATGGCAAGCCTGTATACGGTATTTGCCATTCTTTTTCACTTCACAAGTGTGCACCAGGTTTCCCTGACCACGCATATTGCTGCTGCCATTCATTTGTCCATCTGTCTGTCCGACTGTCCTTCCTTCCTGCCTTCCCTCTTTCTTTCTCTCTCTTTTCATCACAATCCCATGACAGTTGAAGAGTAAATATCCAAGTTTATTAAACTACTGCTGTTCTAGCAGGGCGGTAGTGGTACATGCCTTTAATTCCATCACTTGGGAGGCAGAGGCAGGTGGATCTCTGTGAGTTCGAGGCTAGCCTGGTCTACAGAGTGAGTTCCAAGGCTACCCAGAGAAACCATCTTGAAAAACAACAAAAAACTACTGCTGTTCTTTCCTGGTTACAAACCATGTTGAAAGACTAAACTGTGTAAACACATGTGTGTGTGCACTAGTATGTATCATATTATTTGCGTAATTATGTTCATGAATTCCCAGAACTTGATCACCGTCATGGGAATACCTGTTTTGGAGTGACCATTTATAATCTCAGTGGCGGCAGGCACATGAGAATCCTTATTTTTCCCCAGCTTTTCCTGTAGACTGTGTGGTTAAGTTTTTGGATTTGGGGTGACTGTGAGTAAAAAGTGATACTGTTTCTCCTGCAGTTTTCTCTACTCTGAGTGAAGTTCATTATCTTTTCATGTGTCTAATGGCGTTATCTTTGTGAGGGTTACCACTGCTGTGATAAAACACCAGGACCAAAAGCAAGAAGGAGAAAAGAGGGTTTATTCAGCTTACACCTCCACATAGTCTATCACTCATGGAAGTCAGGGCAGGAACCTGGGTACAGGAGCTGATGCAGAGGCCATGGAAGGTGCTGCTTACTGGCTTGCTCAGCCTGCTTTCTTTAGAACCCAGGACCACCACCCCAGGGATGGCACCACCCACCGGGGGCTGGGCCCTCACCATCAATCACTAATTAAGAAAATGCTCTACAGGCTGGCCTACAGCCCCATCTTATGGAGGCATTTTCTCAGCTGGGGTTCCGTCCTTTCAGGTGATTCTAGCCTGTGTCAAGGTGACATAAAATTCGCCAGCACGGGTGTCGGTTCACTTTTTGTGTGAACTGTCTCTGCTCTCTTTTGGCCATTTTCCTCTTAGGCTTCTGGCTTTCCTCTACCTACTGTCGAGAGGGATAGGAATGCTTGTGGATTATGTGACTTGTAGGCCATCTTGTTCTGCTACTGCACTGTTTTAGAGAAACAGCAAAGTGTTGTGTGCCCATGACACGTTCTCATGTCTTTTCATCCTTCTATGCATTTTTTGTTTAAGTGTTTGATTGACTTGGAGTTTACATTAGATGTAGAAACTTCCCAGCTAAATTATAGCAGCATCCTTCTGGTCACCTATCTACTTTATGTGTGTTATCGTCCTGTTTTCTCCCTCCTGTGGGCCAACCCTACAGTGCGTCTTTGGTGTTAGGACCCTAGAGAGTCACCGTGCTCTGTAGTTCATGAAATGTTTATTCTTCCCTGTGCCGCCTCGCCTTCTACCAGTTTTGTGCCTCAGCTGTGGCCCTTTGCCTTTGTCCCTTAACTTTAAAGTAAAACCATCCAGACACTGGCTCTCTCAGTGGCCGCTCCTTGATACCACTTAGCTTGTTTGGTGTAGGTCTTTTTCTTGTATTTCTAGGGGATTTCAATTTTGAAGTGTAATGCCTCTCACTCTGGGGAGCCATTCTTTTTCTTCAAATACTCTTTACTTGTGCGATTCCAATTACACTCTTAGCTCCATCAGATCCCTGCATATCTTACCTTATACAATATGTCTTGATCACAGTTCCTTCCGTCTCCCCCACCCCTCCAGATCCACTGCATTTCTGTCTCTCGTGAAAAAAGAACAGGCTTCTAAGAGATAACAACAAAAATGTAACAAAATAACATAAAATAAGGTAAATCAAAGACCATCACATCAACTGGACATGGCAAACCAGCAGAAGGAGAGGAGCCCAAGAGAAGACACAAGAATCAGAGACCCACTTGTTCACACCAAAGAGGCCTACAAAAAATACTAAACAGGAAATCATAATATTTGTGCAGAGGATCTGGTGCAGACCCGTGCATACCTTGTGCATGATACTTCAGTCTCTGTGAGTTCCTATGAGCTTTGCTCAGTTGATTTAGAGGGACTTGTTGCCCTGGTATCCTCCATCCCCTCTGGCTCTTACACTCTTTCCTCCTCTTCCTTGGGGTTCCGTGAGCTCTGAGGGAAGGGATTTGAGGGAGACATCCTATTTTGAGCTGTGTATTCTAATGATTCTCTCTCTCTGCATAAAGTCTGGCTGTGGGTCTCTGTATTTGTTCCCATCTGCTGCAAGAGGAGGCTTCTCTGATGATAGCTGTATAAGGCGTTGATCTATGAATATAGCAGAGTATCATTTGGAATCACTTTATCACTACTTTTTTTAAAGACCAGTAGTATTTGATTTTACCCTAGGTCTCTGGGCTATTTAATCTCTGGTTCTTGGCCACCCAAGCATTGTTGGGTATGGGTTCCATCTCATGGAGTGGACCTTAAGTCAAATCAGACATTGGTTGGTTACTCCCACAAGCTTTGTGCCACCATTGCCCTAGCATATTTTGCAGGCAGGACAGATTGTAGACCAAAGGGTTTGTGGCTGGGTTGGTGTTTATGTTCCTCTTTCAGTAGCCTGCAGAGTACCTCCCGCACTATACACACTAGAATGTAAGGGTGAAGGTTCTATGGAGGCACCAGCTCAACCTCCTAATGTTCAGTGAGTTGTGTGGGTGTTGTCTTTAGTAGTAAAGCTTGGTTGTCAGTTTTTGGAGCGTAACCTATTGTCTTGGCAACAGCCTGGGCTGTTTGGGGGTTTCCATGGGACCCCTTTGGTCAACAGCTCAATTGGATGTAACCTAGTCTCACTACTGGAAGCTTCATTTGGTGACAAGAGATGGCCAGGTGGGATTCTATCTACCCTATCATTTGGAGATTATTATTAGG